AGCATATGTAGCTACCCGTACTAGCATATGTAGCTACTTCACTGACTCAGTTGCTCCGGATGCAGATGTGGGTTATCGTCCGTTGGCTTTTTGTCCACACAATGAAATGAGCACACATAAACCATTTTGGGTTCTCTCTTCAAGTTTAGAATTGTTAGCCAAATTCTTTTTGTTTGCTTATCTTGGTTCTGATGGATTAAATAAACCAGATATTTTGTCTTATAAATAAAATTTCCTGGCCCAATCATAATGATGAATACTCATATCATGAACTTTATTATTTTTTAAATTCAAACAAAAAATAAAATTTACATCACACCAAGCTAATAATGTGTAGTTCTGGTGTTTTACACCGTCGGCACAAACTTGGAGCTCAGATCTCTGACCAGTTTTTCTGCTTTTCTCTTTATTACTGTCAGTTCTTCAGAGAAACGAGCTGCTAGCAGCGCTGCTAATTCACGGTCATTCCATAACAAAACATAACGATCGTGTTCCTGTCGCTCCCCATGATTAAACTCACAAATCTGTACTGAGCACCTCCCTGATAGCAGACGGTGTGTTTGTAAACATGCTTTACTAAATATTGTATTATAACCGAAAAGACAGATGTAACTTCTATCATGAATATAGATTAGTAAACAACCCTACAAATTACAATGAAATCTAGCCGCTGGAAGTAACACCTATAATGGCTTCCCCAGTAAGCCTCCCAGGAATAAGGTCAATAGGTGTGCCTCTTGGTCAGCTAGCGCTGTTCTGTTATAATGCTGCAAAATGTTATGCACTGATGTTGAGAGAAAAAAATATGACCCTTATTGGCATATTAAAGAAATGACCATGAAGTTTAAGGGTCATTTATTGTCTTACAATGTCAAAATTTGTTTTCAGCAAATTTAAAGACAATAACAGCAAGTTTGACAAATGATAATTGAATACATATATAACAAAGTAGAAACAGAAACATCCTTTGACCAATTTATCTAAATAGCTTGATTAATTAATGCACGTTTTAATGGAATTATGAAACAATTCATTTTTCAGCCTTTGTAAAAGCAGCTGCATATACAGTGTAAGTAAATTCCCTGTCTTTTACTCTTTCTTTTAGGTGGAGCTGGCCTCACCTGGGAATGACAGAGGACCTTTCCCCAGGTGACATGTGAGGGGTTGTTTAGCTCTACGTATAAACATGACTCAAAAGAAAATTGATGTTTAAGAAGTTCCTGTTTGACTTCATAACTGCTCACTTCCAGTCTACATGTCTTCATGGCTTCCGAAGGACCTATTCAACGTAGTCCTTCGTAGGATACAGCTCCTGAATTTTGACACAAGACATTGTAGTCCCCGATGTTTAAATAAATTGGCTGCCATCTTCCTTCCTTAAACCAACTTAAAAATGTAATGAGAACCTACATGTTGATCTGTGTTCCTTTCTCCTTGGTTTAAACTTCCTTTTGATTTTTGACCAGCTTCTTTATGTTAATCATTTACCTCCACTCAGCCTGCCAGCCTGTTCACTTTCACAGCTGTTACCAATCACCTGATTACCGCAACTGCATCTTATGTCATTTTTCACTCTTGGGTTTAATTTGTTTTAACAATTTCCATTTCCTTGTTTATTTAGTTTCTTTTTATCTTGTCATATTGTGTTGATTTCCCCGATTTTTATTATTTCTTTTAAGGTGTTGGCATATACCATAATTCAGAAAACTGGCACAAAGTTTCTTTAAAACGTCTAAAAACACCAAGAACAGAGTTAAGACAAGTATAAAGAACATGGTTATTAGAATATATTACAACAACATAAAAATAGATCTGGCAGGCCTCACTAATTTCTAATACAGAGACTTGCTACTTATTTAACCCTTGTGTTTACAAATGGGGTCCAACCGACCCCTGACCCGTAAAACTTGTATCATTTGCCACAGTCCTCTACATTTGCCTCAGTCTTTGCACGCACAAGGGTTCAATAGCCCAATTCACAAGGTGAACCATTAAAATAATCAATAAAACAGAATGATGTTTTCAAGGAGGCTCTATTTCTGTTAATTATGATGAATTTCTGCTTAAAGCTAACAAAAATACATTAATTTGATAAATTAGCAAAATACAGTTTTAACATTTAAATATAGAAATTTGAGCCCAATTAAGTGTTGAAAACCCTGCCTAAACGTTTTTATCGTCAAAAGCAACTTTTAATCTAACAATTATTGTAATGCAAATTTCAATTTAATAATAATTCAGTGATGAGGCATTAAGAGCCAAAAGTATTTGAAACTATTAAGGTAGTTTAGGTTTTAACAAACTACACTGTTTCCAACTTTCCAAAAGAAAGAAGGTTTCAATTGTGACTAAAATGGGCTATCAAAATATATGATAGTTTCATTATGTTACAGATCAAATCAAAAATATAATCACTTCTAATTTTTCAAATTTGTAATATTTCAAAGTCGAAAGTAATGAAAGTCAGCAAAATGTGTCTTGTAACATTACAAAATTCTACCATGTTAAACTAAAATATTGTGAACAATAAAAAGATAACATGTTAAACTGGACCTCAGCACATACAATCAAAATATGTCACAAAGTTGCATTGGAAAAATCTCCTTGAAATATTTTACCAAAAATGATCATTTTAAAGGCCCGTCTGAACCACCTGTAGAAGAAAGCATAAACTAATGGATTCAACATAGAATTGGACCATCCTAACCATTTAAATGCTTCAATAACTACAACTGGTATTGTGAATTTTCCCATACTGTATAAACCTACAGATAAAAAGAAAGGAGTCCAACATATGAGGAAGACTCCCAGTACTATAGTCATTGTTATGTTGGCCTTATTCTCCATCTTACTGAGAGCTGCTTCAGACTTCATAGTGTTCTGGATTTGTCTTGCCTGCTTCTTTGCCACCACCAGAATCTTAAGATAAATTGTTAAAATGATAATTGCTGGAATGTAGAATTCAAAAAATGGTCCAGGACTGGTTTCCTTTGTAGCTATAAATATATCACACCTTTGGTTGAGATTTCCTTGAGTTAAACCACGTCCAGTGATGCTTATAGCAAGCAGAGCTGAAAGAGTCCAGCTCACCAGGATCATGGCCAGAGTAACGCGAACATTCATTTTACTTCTATATGTTAGAGGATGACACACTGCAAAATATCTGTCAATGGATATACAGCACAAATTTAAAATAGACGATGCACACAGTAATATATCAAACAGGCCTCGCATTTTACAGAGTAAATAACTTGAATTCCAGCATGAACTCAGAGACAATATTGTGCTGAAAGGTAAAACTAAAGTCCCAACCAGCAGGTCAGTCACAGCCAGAGAGAGGATGAGGTAGTTTGTTGGAGTGTGGAGCTGCTTGAAGTAAATGACAGAGATGATTACAAGAAGATTTCCACATGTTATCAGAACTGACCAAGTGACTACAAAAGCATTTAATAGATAGAAGGTCACAGTCTGTCCATCCAGCTCTGCTGATTCATTACAGAGACGTTGATCTTCAACCATTTTTTCAGTCCTGTTGGAAAAAAAAAATCTTTGAACAAAATCTTGCTTGCTTTTATGGAGTTGTAGAGATGGCAGATATTCAAGTGTTCTGTGCTTCACTGCAAGTTTAACACAAAGCTGCAAGTTATGTTCTCCATGACTGAAAAGCACACTTATATTAGATTTATTATTCCATGTTCATGTGTTCATTGGCTTAACAGGTTTGTGGGTGTAGCCAAGAGTTCTTTGGTATCCAAGGTAAGGTGTTCCTTGGTGTCACATTAAGGAACAATTGACATGCTAATGGTATTTTACTTATGCATTCTTATTTTTTACTTTTTTTGGGGGGGTAATGTGAAAATACATGTGCACAAAGCAACAATGCGCAAGCCATTTATGGTAGAACCGATTAGTCCTGAAAGCACTGTATGCTAGCTTGACTTTGATAACCTTTACATGTCATGTTTGTTAAACTGACTCAGGGACAAATGTGCAGTTAAAACTAAGTATATGTTCACACTGCATCAGTTCAGATTTTTTGAGAGGTTGAATGCAACCTCGCCGTACAGTACCAGGTCACATTTGAAAAGATCAGACTGGATTTAGGACCACGTATCCAAGTGGCTTTGGCCGCCTTTGTAAAAATCTGATTTGTGTTGTACTGTCATAAAACAATAAAATACATGTCGCATAACGTAAAAAAATATGACTTGGCTCACTTCAGACTGCAGTGTCTGAAGCCACATATAAAATATAAACCTAATTCTTACATTTTAATTAGACTTGAGAGGTTAAAGTGCTGCAAAGGCCTACTGTAATTACAGGATTTCTTATCCTGTTCTGCATGAAAATAGAAACTTGGAGGCCAAGCTTTATATAAAAACTCGTCAAGCTTTGCCCAAAATTGTCCCCTGCCTGAAATAACATTTTAATGGAATCAAAAGGGAGAGTGGAAAAACCACTCTACAACGCTCCCTACTCTGAAACAAGCCATACCTTACATTGTAGACATGTGAAATTTGGTACTGTTAAGAAAATAAATTTAAAATAAGCTAGTTTTAAACTTAACATGTCTTGATTCAAATGGCCTAATTGTGGTTTTAAAATCAGTAATGTATTCTGACTTTTTGACCTTTAATTTACCTGTAGTTACAGCAGATGGTTTGCTAGGATCGTTTGAACTGCCTTTTGTCTGTGTGGGAAAACAATACAGTAGAAGTTCTAGCTTTTCACACTCATCTGTGAAAAGCCATAAACACAGCAGGAGTTCCTGGCTTCAGATAGAGGGTCAGAGATAGCTCCTGGATTGGATGAGCAAAGATACGCCTTATTTGAATAAATTAAAGATAAGAATACACCTTCACTATAAAACTTTCTACACAAAAGTAACAAATTAGATTTGCTCTTGCAATTCTCCAAAGACGTCTTTGGACGTCTTTGCTTTCTTTCTTTCTTTCTTTCTTTCTTTCTTTCTTTCTTTCTTTCTTTCTTTCTTTCTTTCCATTTATGTCAGGTAAATGAATGTATGTCTCTGTTGTTCTGCAGTTTTTGTTGTAATTTTATGCGTTGTCTTCTATTGGATTAAACTGCAATTCTGTGACGTCAACACGCATTGCTGTTTTCTTCTGAGTGACGTGGCCGTTGCGAGAGGACCCGGGATCATAAAGGCAGAGAGAGAGCCAAACTTTTTCCAAAATTAATTAATTCATAAAAATCTTCCTTAACAGTACATAGATTCCCCATATGGGGGAATTTTTCTGCCATATTTCGAGAGCACACATTTTCAGTCAGAAAGCAGGATTTCATGTCTTTCTTCTTAAAACTTGTAATGCTTGTACTCAAGCAATAGTTTTTTTTTCTCTTTTATTTGTTTCTTTGTATGTTCTCCCATGTCACCAGACTGGCTCCGCAAGAAAACAAAGGCAAAGAAACTAATGACATAGTGGCCAACTTAACTATGCCTTTTGAATATTTTCCCAAGATGATTATTCTGAAAACAGATCTGAACCTGCTGTAAAAGAAACGGTAAACAAATAGATTAAGCATTGAATTTTACAGGTGATTAAATAACTCAACATTGAGTTAAACGTTAAAGAAAGAGACTGCCATAACAATGACCAGAGTGGTGGTGTTTTTTTGGTGACACGTTTAAAAAGAGTGTACATTTGACTTTGTCTAATTCCTTCTGTAGCATGCTCTTCTCTGCATGGAGGAATTTGACTCTTACCAGTCCTTATCTCAACTTCAGCATCATGATATTTCTCATCCCTGTGCTCCTGCTCACTGTTTCTATTTCTTCCCTAAGGCTTAGAATATCTGGTTGGTACTAATTGACCATCTCCAGACTCGCATTTTGGACTTGCTCTAGCTCTTTCTGGATGCATCTCTTTGCCTCTACGGAAGTGTTTTTCAGGGATGCTATTTTTTGACAGATCTATAAACATTCTCTGTAGATCTGTGTAAAGCATTTTGTTCATCTTCACCATCTCAGCATGAGATTCTCTGTCATCTTTCAGCTCCCGCTCCAGTGTACTCACCCGCTTCCTAAAGGTTAAAACATTTGTTTCATGCTTCTTGACCATTTCCAGGTTTTCCTCGACTTGCTCCACCTCGCTCTGGAGACATGTCTCTATCTCTCCAGAGGCATTTTGCAAGGACGACCATTTTTGATGAAGATCCTCATTCTCAGCTTCTAGGCCTGCATACAGTGTTTGGTTCATTTTCGTCATCTCAGCATGAGCTTCTTTGTCGTCATTTAGCTTCTCCTTTAATGATTCTGCTTGTTGTATCAGAGTTTTAACATCAGTTTGGTAATTGGTGTTTAGTTCCTGGTGATTCTTTCATCTCTGTCTCATCAGATGTCTTTTTCAGCAGTGCCATTGCCTTCTTCAGTTCTGTACATTTTTCATTAAACTCACATTCTTGCAGCTTGAGTTTTGTGTCAAGCAATTCTTTTTCCAGGTAATTGGCTCTTCTGGCTCTTCCTGCATCCAAAAGAGTTTTGAGCCTGTTGATCTCTTCCTCAAAATAATTACCACATTTGGTATTTTTGACTTGAATTCGGCCATCTTGATTTTGCTTGTTCTTCCAAATCATTCTCCTGGAAATGAGCTTCCTTCTCGCCAAATTCTTTTGTCTGACTTTCCATTTTTGTCAAATGCCGTTTAGAAAATACATTGAAATGCAAATGATCCAACTCATTTTTGAAACATTTTTGAAATGTTGTCAGACTTGGAACACAACCAAAAAATCAATATGGAAAAACTACACTTATGCCATTTGTAACTATGTTGCCTATTAATGGATGGTTTTCATAAACTATTAACATGTCCTCATAAGACTACTTTTTCCTCCTTACTTACCAAAGTACGCCTCTCTTTGTTCACTGGCAAAGCAGAAGTTGCAGAGAACTGAGGTCCAGGCTATTGGTCATATTTTTGTGGATATGTAGGAAGGGGTGATGATTAAGGCGCTGCTCTGACAATGGAGGCTGGAGAAGCTTTGCTCAGCCGTCGTATTTGACACAAAATTCTTCAAATACAGCCGAAGAAGCCTCTCAACTTCACTAGGGTTTGAGTGCCTTGTCCCTGGGCTGCCAACATGTCCACAGATATCTTTGTGACCCAACTAGTAGGCCTATCAGCAGAGCTGTCAATCGGTGTTCGAACATCTGAATGATGTGTTTTGGATCAAAATGGCATACCTTGCCGACATATTCAAGCTTTACAATGACAAAAACAAGCGGTTGCAACGTTGGCACTATTCACATCGTCTTTACACATGGTGTTTATCCAGCACATGAAGCTGCTCTGCCAGGAGATGAAAAACTGCTTTGCCAACATGGATGAGCATCTGTGAGGAGAAAACTGGGTTATGGTTCCCGACATTCCCACTGTCAAAGACGTGGAATACCTCATCTACAAAGATGAGCTTTGTGACCGCCAAGGTGATTCTGTATCCAAAAAAATATTCCCAAGGAAATGGACACAAAAAGTTTTGGGCTGCTAAAGGACAAATCCTACCACCTAAATCCTAGACTGGCCTAACACGCACTGATGGAAGGTCTTCTTCCATCCAGCACTACTGACCCATCTGAGAAGCTTGTTTCAATAAAAACACAGGTTCTCTAGATTTTAACTGCCCCAGAAAATGGCATTGGATAAGTAAAGTGATTTGAGTAGAAAACGATTCATTTATTTTCATTCCGTAGGAAAATAAAGGGACATATATATATATATATATATATATATATATATATATATATATATATATATATATATATATTTTTTTTTTTTATCTCTGTGG